AAATAGGCAGCATTTTTAGGCCTACTGGATGGCAGAATAGTGAAATCTGTACATATTGTCTGTTTCATGGGAGAATTGGGGGGTTTGTATAACAAGATCTAAGAGTTAGTGTTTCTTCTTTCCACTGCTGCTTTTCGATGTGTCTAGTATGAAACTGCATATTTTAAAAATCTGTTCATGGATTGCTTTTATTTTTACTTGACCTAAAAACAATTCTCAAGGGCTAGTGCTCACTCAGTACAATGTTCCTTCTTTTTGTGACAGTAATATTGATGTAAATACTCATGTATGTAAGGTTAGGAATAGGCTTCCTGCAACATTCACACACCCTGACTTCACTGTTTGCAGAGGCACACAAGAGGTACAGATAGCACAATCTGATCCATTGTCCTAAATAAAATTAACTTCTATAGAAATATTTTCAGTTGCTTATCCTTTTTAAGCTATAACAAGTGAATAGAATAGAATATTTCAATTGGAAGGGACAAACAACAATCATCTAGTCCAACTGCCTGACCACTTCAGGGCTAACCAAAAGTTAAAGGATGTTATTCAGGGCATTGTCCAAATGCCTCTTAAGAACTCACAGGCTTGGGGCATTGACCACCTCTCTAGGAAGCCTGTTCTAGTGTGTATATGGCCTGTGTAGCAAGATTTTGGTGGCAGGGGGTGCTAAGGGGTAGTTTCTGTGAGAAGGTGCTAGAACCTTCCCCCATGTCCAATACAGCCAATGCCAGCTGGCTCCAAGACAGACCCGCTGCTGACAAAAGCCAAGCTCATGAGTGACAGTAGTGGCACTTTCTGTAATAACATATTTAAGAAAGGGAAAAAAAAACTGCAGAAGAACAACAGCAGAGAAAGAAGTGAGAATGTGAGAGGAATAACTCTGCAAACACCGAGGTCAGTGAAGAACAAGGTGGGGGTGGTGCTTTCAGGAGTGAAGTTGAACCCAGGAAGAGAGGGGTGGAAGGAAAGTGGTTTAAGATTTATTTTCTCATTACACTACCCTGAATTCATTTGCAATAAATTAAGTTCATTTTCCCCAAGTCAAGTCTGTTTTGCCTCTGATGGTAATCGCTGAACGATCTCTCTCTGCCCTTATCTTGACTCTTGAGCCTTTCATTCTGTTTTCTAGCCTATGTCAAGCTGAGGGAGGGAGTGATAGAGCATCTCTGGTGGGCACCTGGCACCCAGCCAGGTTCAACCCACCACACAGTGTTTGACCACTGTCTCAGTAAAGAAATGCTTCCTAACATGCAGTCTAAACCTCCCCTGGTGCAGGTTTGAACCATTCCCACGTGTCTTATCAATGGATCCCAGGGAGAAGAGATCAGCACCTCCCTCTCCATTTCCCCTCCTCAGGAAGCTGTAGAGAGCAGTGAGGTCACCCCTCAGCCTCCTTTTCTCCCAACTAGACACAACCAAAGTCCTTAGCTGCTCCTCACAGGACATGCCTTCCAGCCCTTTCACCAGCTTTTTTGCTCTTCTCTGGTAATACCTGGGTACCTTCACATCCTTCTTAAGTTGTAGGGCCCAGAGCTGCACACAATACTCAAGGTGAGGCTGCACCAACGCTGAATTCAGTGGGATAATCACCTCTTTAGACCATCTGGTTGTGCTGTGTTTGATGTACCCCAGGACAAGGTTTGCTCACTTGGCTGCCAGGACACACGGCTGACTCCTGCTGAGCCTGCTGCCAACCAGCACCCCCAGATCCTTTTCTGCAGGGCTGCTCTCCAGACACTCCCCTCCCAGATTACCCTTTGCCAGGCAGCACTCCATTCCAGGTGCAGCATCCAGCATTTGTTCTTGCTGATTTTCATCCCATTAATGATTGTCCAGTGCTCCAATCTATCTAGATCCTTCTGCAAGGCATCTTGTCCCTCGAGAGAGTCAGCAACACCTCACAGTTTGGTATCATCATCAAACTGTTGATGGTGCATTCAACTCCTGCATGCAGATTATTGACAAATACATTAAATAGAATCAGCCCTAGAACTGAGCCCTGAGAATCACTGCTGATGACCAGTCACAATCCAGATGTAGCCTCATTCACCACAACCTCTTCTCCAGGCTGAATAACCCCAGCTCTCTCAGGCTGTCTTCATAGGGCTGGAGCACTTCTATGAAGAGAGGCTGAGAGAGCTGGAATTATTCTGCCTGGAGAAGAGGAGGCTCTGGGGGGACCTTCCAGTACCTAAAAGGGGCCTATATAGAAGGCAGGGGAAGATCTGTTCTCAAGGGTTTGTGGCACCAGGACAAGGGGTAATGGTTTGAAGCTGGGAAAAGGGTAGATTTAGGTTAGACATTAGGAAAAAGTTCTTTACTATGAGGGTGGTTGATCATTGGAACAGGTTTCATAGAGAAGTAGTGGAGGCCCCACCCCTGGAGGCATTCAGGGTCAGGTTTGATAAGGCTCTGAGCAACCTGACCTAGTTAGAGATGTCCCTGCTTAAAGTAGGGGGATTGGACTAGATGGCCTTTAGAGATCACTTCTAACCCAACACATTCTAGGGTTCTATAACCCTGTGAGCCCTGCCCTTTAGTCAGTTCTTCAGCCAGGCTCCTGCTGGCTGACAGACTGTTCTGTTAGCATCCTATACATTCCTGTAGGGCTTTGTCCAGTGAACTCCTCAAGGAAATTTTAATTGCAGTGTCCAAATAATTATGTCAAATAGGCAAGGTCATGCTTTTGACAAACAAGCACGTGCCTGTTTACTGTAAATTTATTGGTTTTATAGAAGTTATTTTTAAGATGGGTAAATATGTCATGAGCACAGAACCATCCAAACTGGTTTGCATTTTTAACATTTCTACTACACTGCTTCTTTTCTTGTTACAAATATAATTATATATTAAGTGGTATTGTGGCATAATGAAAACATTCTCTTTTTTTTCACAAACTGTAAAATAAGCTCCTGATTATTTGCAGTGATTGAAAACATAATGGTATTCTGCTCAGACCCTTGTAAAACTCAAATGCAGGAAATGAAGATTTACTCACCTACACTTCTCCTTCATGTTTAAATAAAACCAGTATTATTTCTCTCAGGACAAAAACCACCAAAGTATTACATAGTCAACATGGCAAAACAAGTTGTTAGTCCCATGGCAGAAACACTTGTTGTGCACAGCAGGCCAGCTATTCCACACAGAAATGAACATACATGGTTCAGCATCTATTACCTGTATTCCCAAATGAATATTCATTAGAAAAACCTGGAAAGAATCCACAACATTCACACACCAAACAGGGCCTTCCTTGATAAAGTTTAATTTACCTCTGCTCCACCTAGTTACAGAAAGAATCACAGAATGTCTGGGCTGGAAGGGACCTCTAGAGGCCATCTAGTCCATCCCCCCTGCCATAAGCAGGGACATCTCCAACTAGGTCAGGCTGCTCAGAGCCTCATCCAGCCTGACCTTGAATGTCCCCAGGGATGGGGGCTCCACCACCTCTTTGGGCCGTCTAGTCCAGTGATCTGTCACCCTCATATTGAAGAACTTTTTCCCCTCATCTAACCTAAATTTACCCTTTTCTAGCTTAAAGCCATTGCCTCTCGTCCTGTCACTGCAAACCCTTGTGAATAGTCCCTCCCCTGCTCTCTTGTAGGCCCCTCTCAGGTACTGGAAGGTCACTCTAAGGTCCCCCTGGAGCCTCCTCTTCTGCAGGCTGAACAACCCCAACTCCCTCAGCCTGTCCTCACAGCAGAGCTGCTCCAGCCCTCTGACTATTTTTTTGTGGCACTATTATGTTTATTTTTGTGGAAAGGTACTTAACATATGTTTAAGAAAGAGCTACTCTGGGCTTGTTCCTCACAACTTCTTCCCATTACCTCTTTCCAGATTTCTGTTTCAGCTGCTCTTAGGCTGTGTAGGAGGCACGTTGCCTCCCAGCCCTGCTACCCACATCTACACCTCTGTCTCTCACTGTGTCTCGTCCACTTTCCTCCTCCCCTGTGCAAGGATGCTTTTCTTTCAGGTTAGTCTTCTTGTGAAAAATATGTTTCCAGCTGATCCATGCCTCCCCTCCTTGAAATCAGCTAAGAGCACTTGGGCCATTCTGATCACCACCTCCCCATGCTGGATGCAGGCCCCAGTACAACATTTGCTTCCCTGTTGGCAGAGGACATATGGCAGAAAGAGTGAGGTGGCTTTTAGACAGCTCTAGCATTTGCCTCTTGCAAAAATCCATATTGACAGGCGGTGCTGCCAGCGTTGGATTGTGTCTACTCAACTGGCCCACACCAAGTATTATTTGTATTTTCAGGCACCAATACTGGCACGTTATCTAATGTACTTTTTTTTTGTTTATTTGTTTTGCTTGGGAAAAAGCTGCGGGGGGGAACTAGTCATGGACCAATTAGTGGGAGCAGCTGCAGAGGCAGCCAAAGCAAGTCCCTTCAAACACAACTTCTAAAGGCTTTTTGCTGTGTCTTCTCCAGGCTGTACCACTGGCTTGTTACGTCAGCTCTGACTTAGTTCTTCCTCAGCTATCTTTGCACCCCTCATTCACATCTGTAATTGCATTCTTTCTATGGCCTGCCCCCCTTTCCTCAATATCCTCATTGTCATTAACCTCTCCTTTCCACACTGCTGCCTCTTAACTCCCTCAGAAACAAAATACAAAAAAAAAAAGGGCTGTGAAATCAATCTTTTGCAGGCACAGATCCTATGCATTGTGCTTATTTAATTCCTGATACAAAGAATACCTCTTCTTGTCAGTCTCTAGGTACTGGCAGCAAAATCATGCACAGAAAATGAAGTAAATTGAACTGTGGTAATGCCAGCATATGATTTATGAAATACTGAAGAAGTATTTTATATTGGGAAGACACTTCATCCCAGATGCAACTGAGAAAACAAGTGAATTTTTACTATCACCTCTTTCACACATACAATGTTTTTTTTCCACAGAAATGGGGAATTTTCAGCACATTGCCAATTGTATTGAAACAGATTGGTTATTGTCGTTAAGAAAGACTTCTTGCATGCTTTACCTGAGCTGGTAGAAGCAGGAGACTTGCTGCGTCGGGATGGGCCTGGGCTCTTGGTGGTGCTCCTACGTGAAGTCGAAGCTATTTTGGTATAGGAAGTGGATTTCACCACCCGACATTCTAAAAGACAAAGAAACTGCAAAAGTTAGTAATTTAAAAAGCCAGCAAGATTCTGTAACAGAAAGAGCACCAAAAAGCACAAACATTTAGCCCACGCTTGTTTTCATTCATCTTGAAGAATTTTATGGGAAAATATAAAATCTATATAAATGGCTCCATTAAAATCCAAGTACAGCATGTACCACATCCTAGACAAAGAGCTGCTGCAGTAATCCAGACTTTTAGATACCATGGTTACTGCAGGTACTTAGGATGGCATAATTTAACTGTGCTGAGACTACACATAAAATTTATTTGCTTTTGAAGATTTCAGTACAAGTAATGAGGTGTTTGTTTTTTTTTTTTTTGCAAACAATACAAATGCAATGTAAGCATTTCTGTCAACCCAGGCAGTTTCCTCTAGAAGAACTGGAAGGCTGCTTTTATATATCAAAATGTTAAGACTGTACAAGGTTATGCAGGTGTCTGTCATTCATGAAATGTTTGAAGAAAGTGAAGCAGGTTTGTTGCTCCTGCTTAATCCTCTGGTGAGCAACAGCCCACATTGTGTAGCACACGCAGTTCATCACAGGTTGAGGGAAATGGCACTACTTGCTCATAAGAGACATCAGTAAAATCAATGAAGAGGCGAAATTACTCTCCCACTTGAGAACACTGCAAGATGTTCAGGTTAGGGTTTATCTACACCCACATGGCTCTGTAGGCATTCTTGCATTACTCCTGCAAAATAGTTCTTGGCCTGAGGATGAAAGGATTTAGTGTGCATAATGCTGATGTCTTGCACCCATCATGAATACTAAATTAATCACCAGACATATAGTTGGGGAAAAAAAAAAAAAATTCAACTTCTTAGCCAATATCCAATTAGAAGTCTGCACTAATGTTTATACTGTCTTCACCTGACAATGGCAGTATACTTCACTTGTTTAAAAATACATCAGTAAACATTTAGTTCTGAATCAGACCTGTTGCCCATTTTCTTCCCATGGAAGGGAAGGTTCCTCTACATAGGTTAAGAGAAATAAACAAGAATTTTTTTCTCCCTAGTCAGAAAATACGATGTACAAGCCTGCACATTATTTAGTCTTCACAGATGATCAGTGGAGCCTGTAACATAGTTTAGACAGATTAGAGAACAAAGAAATAAAATTGAGCATAACTAATTAACTTAAACAAATCCACCAGAGAATGATGTCATAAAATGTATTTCTCTTGGCTGCCCTAAGTGTTTGTCTTTCATCAAGCTGTTGAAGGAAATAGAAGCAAGAACTGATGCGTTACTGAGGGAACATCCAGTACAGCTGAGAGGACCAGGGACATGCCCTGGTTTTCCTAAAGAAGCTTTTCTTCCCAGTCTCTCCTACCTTCCTAACACCCAATAGTAACAAATATCTTTCTGTTGACATTTTATGTGATTCATTGATGACTAGTCTCATTTTATACTGAACAAAGAGTGGAAACAGATAAAAACATTTACTCTGTTGTAAGAGGAAATTACCAACTGAAAACAGGAGGGGTAAGATGAAAGCTTTCAATAAGATTTCAATAGGTAACTACAGCAGGAACCTTACAATGATGTACTAGCATAAACAGGTGCTTCAGAATCCATCTATACATGTCAAAATGTAAACAGGTTCTTTACCTTTCCTGTAAACAAGGATTTCAAATGCCCCCAAAACTAACAGCAAATTTATCTGATGTTGTAAACTATGAGTAAAATTGATGTGAGCTCCATTCATAGGAGTCAGACAGGAAGGGACTGAATGTTCCAATAGTCAACAAACAACAAGACTGAAGCAGGATGACCCAATCAAGCTAAAACCATTAGAGTATAGTCATTCGCTTAGTAGAAAAACTTGAGTCCATGAAGAAAACAGCAAGCTACTTTCTGTAATATTCTTTACTATGTAAAAAGCTTTCTGGTTTCCAACATGAAAACAATCATCTATATCCCTCTCTTGCAATTCATGCTATGCACTAAAGCTTAACTCTCATCTTATTACAAGTACACCTTATAAGCACTCAGAGTTAGAATGAGGTTAGAGATAAGATTCTGTATTTGAAAGTGTATTTCCTCTCATTGTATTGGAAAGGACCAGGCAGAAAGTGGTATGAAAGGAGAGACAACTAAATGCACACCCAGGTTATTTCCATCCTATTGATATAATGCTGTTGAGGACAATACTCAAGAAAGCCTTTATAAAATTTTCACCCAACTCATTTAAAAATGAAGGGAAAATAATAAAAAGTTATTCTGCTTCATCTAAGGTTTTGTCTCACAAGGACAAGAACAGTGTGCTTGTTGTGAACTGCAGAAGTGTCCTGGTTTTGCTGGGAGAGACTCATAGGCAAGCCATGGTATGCAGGCATTAGAGATTTCCAGTTAGCCTGGAGCTTAAGCTGGGAGGCACAAAAGCCAGGGCAACTGGCCCAAGTTGGCTCACAGGTGTATCCCATACCATAAACATCACACTCCTTATAAAGGGGAAGTTTGCTGAGGATGGGAGCTTCTCCTCTTCCTCCTTTTTCTGCCTCTCTCTGTCCCTGGAGGGGGTCACTTACCATTCTGCTCCCAGGGATTGCTTTCCTGTTTATTGTAACTGTCATACAGTTACTGGGCTGACTATTACTTTCTATACTTTATATGTGCCTTAATAGTAATCTTGCTGTTTCATTAAATCAATTTTCCTTTTAACCCATGAGTGGCCTCTCCTTTTCCTGACCTCCCTTCTCAGCCAGGGAGGTGTCACTATGTGATAGAGCAACTGCTATAATTTAGCCCTGGCTACAGGCTAAACGAAGACAAAAGTTAACAGCATCTTGTTGCCATCTTCATTCTCTCCCAGCCAGAAGTGCTCCTGCTCCCATGCTACAGAGGCATGTTACTATTTCTAGGAGAGAGGGAGGCTGGCAACTGGCTGCATCCACTAGGGCATTTGACCATCTCTCAACTACTGGCAGTCTCCTTAGAAAGGGTGATGTTAGGAGTGGTGTTCAAACTGTCCTGACGGGCTACATATAGACCATGACCTGTTATTGGAATGACACTGTACTAGTGGCATACTATCCTGTGGGGAAGCCACCTCTCACAGCTAGCTGCACATAGAATCTCTCCCCACTGGAGCAGAAACACAGATGACCATATGTTCATATGACAATTTGGGAAAGGAACAATCCTTACAGGATTATAGGATAATCCAGTGGACAGTGAGGGGAGAAGGATCCAAGAAAGCTGAATAACATTCAAAGATCACCACCATCAAGCTCCAGAAAAGTCCATCTCATCAAGCAGGAATTTGGGCAACAAGGAAGTATAAAAAAGGTGGAAGCAGGGACAAGCAACCTGGAAGGAATATAGAGCAAGTCCAGGCATGCAGAGACACAGTTAGGAAAGCCAAAGCCCCACTGGAATTGAATCTGGTGAGAGATGTCAAGGGCAACAAGATGTGATTCTTCACATATATATGGAACAAAAGACCAGGGAAAATGTGCACTCACTGCTGAATGAGGCAGGTAACAAAGAACATGGAAAAGGCCAAAGGATTGAATGGCTTCTTTGCCTCAGTCTTTACTTGAAAGGTTGACATTCAGAATCCCAGGTCCCAGAAGCAGAGGGAAAGCCTGGAGAAAAGAAGATCTGTCCCTGGTGGAAGCGACTCAGATTAGAGAATACTTAAGTCAAGTGGACATACGTAGGATCCACAGGGTCTGATTGGATGCACCCTGCAAGTGCAGAGAAAGTTGGATGATGTCATTGCAAAGTCACTCTCAATAATCTTCGAATGACAATGGTGATTGGGACATCATTTGAAGACCCAAAATATCTCACCTCTATCTTCAAAAAGGGCAGAAAGGAGTAGCCACTATAGCCAGATCAGACTTATATTAGCCCCTGGGAAGGTGATAGATCAATGAACCCTGAAAATATCTTCAAGGCACATTAAGGACAAGAAGATCATCAGAATTAGTCAGCGTGGTTTCCCCAACGGGAAGTTATGCTTGACCAACGTGGTAACTTTCTGCAATTAAATGACTGGCTTGGTCTGTGAATACTGTCTACCTGGACTTCTGTGATGCTTTCAATGCTGTCTCCCCCAAAATCCTCACAGAATAACTGTATGGGCTTGAGGAGCAGACAGCAAGGTGAAGAAGAAACAGGCTGAGTGACTGGCCCCAGAGAGTGGTGATCAGTAGCATGAAGTGTAGTTGGAGGCCAGTAACTAGTAGCATACTCCAGGATCAGAGTGCACCCTTGGCAAGTTTGCTGATGACATAAAACTGGGAGGAGTGGCTGATACACCAGAGGGTTGGCCCTGCCATCCAGAGGGACCTCAGCATGCTGGAGAAATGGTCTGGTACAAATCTCATGGAGTGCAACACGAAAGACTTTGAAGTCCTGCACCTGGGGATAAATAAAACAGGCACCAATATGTGCTGAGGGTCACTCAGTTGGAAATCTGCTTGGTATAAGATGAGGGAGTCCTGGTGGACCACAGGAGGACCATGGATCAGATGCACTCTTGATGCAAAGAAGGCAAATGGTATCCTGGACTGCATTAGGAGGAGCGTTGTGCACTAGTGAGGCCATAACTGGAGTACTGTGTCCAGTTCTGGGCTCCCCAGCCCAAGGGAGAGATGTACTGGGAGAGTCCATCAAATGGTTATTATGATGATTGACTGAAGCACCTCTCATTTGAGGAAAAGCTGAGAGAACAGGGAGTGTTAACCCTGAAGAAGAGAAGACCCAGGGGGAATCTTATCAAAGTATATAAATGTTTTGAGGGAGAATGAAAAGAAGATGGAGCCAGGCTCTTTTCAGCAATGTCCAATGACAGGAAAAAAGGCAACGGACATAAACTGAAACACAGGAGGTTCTGTCTGAACTTTTTTGATGCGAGGGTGAGCAGTAGGACTGACTGCTCAGAAAGGCTGTGAAATCCCCACGGTTGGAGTCATGGTCCTTGGCAACCAGCTCTAGGTAACCCTGCTCAGGCAGGGCAGTTGGACCGGATGACC